TTCAGTGTAATCTTGTTCTTTCCGTGTAGAATATTGAGAAAAAAAATTTGTGCAATTTTTTTTTTTTTTTCAGTATCACAATTTAATAAATTAAAAAATAATTTTCTTGAAAGCGCTGTTTTTATTTAAGTATGAATAACTGGATCTGTACTGAAAAAAAAATGATAAATATAAATAATTAAAATATAAATAAAGGATAGTGGTATAAAGGAGGGTAGCAAAATAAATAGATAAATAAATAAATAAAAATAAAACGACCATTGAACCAAACACAAATCAGTTTAATCCTCAAATAAAACATAATTTTTTTTGTTGTTGTTATGTTATAATAATTAAATAAATAAATAAATAATCGGTGGTAGTAGTAGCGTTGTAACGGTGATTGTTACGTAGGTGAGTGAAAATGCTATTTTCAGTATCATAGTAATGGCAAGCTTTTCTTTATAATTTTATTATTTTATAAATCAATAGTTTACTTTATTAGTTGTTTTTATTTTCATCGGCTAGTCGTTAGTAGGCGTTGAGTTTTTTTTTCATTTTTCACTTTTTTTTTTATTTTTTCAAGCCAATTTTTTTTTAATTTTTTTTTTTTGAGGTGTAGAATTTGTGTGTAAGTAAAGCAATAAAAATTCTAAGTGTTATTAACTAAATATTACCACAAGAGAGACACAAAAAATAATAATAATATAATTGCGATAGTTATCTAATTTTTTTTTTAATAAGTACGTAAGAAAAATTATGATAGATGGCAATAGTATAATTATAATTAATAATAATAATAATAATAATAATAATAATAATAATAATAATAATAATAACCAGAGAAAGGAGTAATAAAGAATAAAAGTAAATAATAATGACAAAAAAAATTATCGACATGATTAAAATAAAAAATGTATCGTCAATAATTAAAAAATAAAAGTTATAATGATTAAATTTAATTAATTATCCATTAAACTTTTAGATATTATCATTTGCACCTTCTTCTTTTTTTTTCTTAAATCTCTGGTTAAAAAAAAAAAAAAAATTCTAAGCAAAAAATATTGATAAATATGAAAAAAAAAAAAAATGTAAATAATTAATATTAAGTAGTAATTAATAATATAAATTAATTATAAGGGAGATCAAGCGTCCCAGTGGATACCGCCGCTCACTAAAAAAAAAAGTGAGTAATTTATTTATAAATCGAGGCTTATAATTCGCACACGACGACTAGACACATCGAGGTACATATTTAATAGGACACGATATAATAATTCTCACGTTAATATTTTTATATTAAATATATAAGGTGAGACTTTATTAAACAGATCACCTCACTTTTGTTCCTCAACTTATAACCTATCGACTAAGTCCGTCTATCAATAAATCCACTAATTTAAAATTAAACTATTTATTTGTTTGTCTTGTGACGCGGTCACGTTGCACGTAGACTAGACATCTTGCTCGCGGTTTTTTTTTTTTTCTTTATTATTTATTTATTCACCCCCACGATTGAGTCAACTCACGTCGAAAGCTCATCTTGTGTTTTACTACTACCTATAATTAATAATTAATTCATCAGTACTAAATAATAATGAATAATTAATGAATGAATTGAACTATATCACTACTAATAAATACGCGTGGGCTTAAAATAGAGATTCTTGCAATATTTGCGTTAAAATATAAATATTGTGATCGATGCGATCTAAAAAATATAGCAAATTATATAATTTATATTTTAACTTACGAGATATATATCAAATAAATGTAATCTAAAATACATTTAATTTATCGTAATTGTACGATGTTTTTTTTAATATTTAATAATTAATAATTAATATTAATATAAAATTTATAACTGTAATTATAATGTATATGTGTATAATATATAATGTATAAATATGAATTAATTAATATATATTTTAATAAATACGAATAGCGCTAAGAAAATAATTAAATATAAATCTTATTGCAAGCGGCCTCTAAAAATCAAGTTGACTCAACCGTGATAATGATTAATTTAATTAAATATTAATAATTAAACCCCTCGTTAAACTTACTCGCAATTGTAACTTTAACCCTAAATGCACTAAAGTACTCAACTTATTTTTTATTTTTTTTTTTAAACTTTCGCGAACGCTCTGAGAAATGAAATAATTAACGTGACTAGAGACAAATTATTTGCAACATTAATTTTTAATAAGACTATTTGAAAAAAAAAAATATTTATCAGTAAAATACACGGAAAGAAAAAGATTACACTGGATATCATCCCAGATTATACTCAGTGATATTTGTGGTGAAAAAAAATTCAGATACACAGTAAAAAATTTTCTGTTAAAAATTTTTGTGTTAAATATTTAACATAAAAATTTTTTGACACATTGACGCAAAATTTTTTACTGTGTAGTAGTTAGTATAATCTAGATTATACTGAGTGATATCTGGATTATACTCATTGTAATCTCTCATTTAATCCAGTAATATCTCTGATTACGCTGGAAATTTTTTTCACTCAATATAATTACGGATGATATTCAGTGTCATCCCGTGCAAAAAAATTCTGATCAAAAATGAATTTCAATCTTAAATTAATTTTCAAATTTTTTTTTTGCACCTGATCTTATTCTTTCCATTCAGGATAGTTAAATATTATTTTAAAATACTATCTAAAATTTTTTTTCACCCCAGATATCACTGAGTATAATCTAAGATGACATCCAGTGTAATCTTGTTCTTTCCATGTAGATAAAAAATTTATTGATTTAAAATATCTGGGCAGATATTGGTGCGCTTTTAGGTAAGGAATTAGCGTACCATCGACGGCGATTTTGTTGTAATAAGTCACAAGATTATAAAAAACGCGCATTATGTAAATTAAGTACAAATCGGCCGCTTGGTTGCCTCAAATCAGTTAATAATTATCATTTTCATCTCATTTCAATTATTAATTAATTAATTAATATATTCTTACTAAAAATGTCTATTATTATTATTATTATTATTATAATTAATTAAATTTATGTGCGAGCCCCGACCCAAAATTGTTCAATTATTTATTCACGGCCTATACGGAGTTGATTCTACAATAGTACTTTAAAATAATTAATAATCTATTTCAGCATTATTTCGTTCCCTAAATTACTTAATGTTTATTATTTATTATTAATTATTATTATAATAAAACAGCGCCTGTGAATAACATCAGACGTCTATTTTATATAATTCATTTTTACACATGAAAAAATCATTCAATTTTATTTATTATTATTATTCCTCTAATTTTATTGAATTTAAACCTTACTAAACTCTCAGTATTAAATTTTAAAAAATCATTTACTTATCTTGAATTATTTTTTCATAAGTGTCTTAAATTTTTTATTTATTAATTTAGATTCTTATAATTTATTTTTTTTTCTTCATTCAATTCTCACTCGCTAAAAATTCTCACTCTTATTATTATTATCAATTACAAATCAATAATAATAATAACCACAATAATAGTACAATAGTTCAAAGACAAATATAATAATAATAATAAAAAAAAAATAATAATAATAATAACTTATACACAGTTGAATATGTATAACGTTGGGTATTACGCTTGTGTAAAAGGAAGTACAGTAAATGCTAATGTATTACATCTTTAAATAGTAAAATAATATATAATATAAATATTATCGAGTCATAGAGTCATTTATTTTATTTATTATTATTATTTATTTAATTAATAATGAAGTCTTTTTAATTTATCTGTTATACTTTTATTATTCTTTTTTAAAGAATAAATCAAAAGCATACTCTGTACATCCTTAAGCTAGCGTATAATACTAGTATTATATATGTTACAAGAAAGATCACGGCTACAATTGTTGCTTTTTTTTTTTTTAGTCAACTCGATAATAATAATTATTATTATCATTAATATTCCTAACCCCAGCCCCCGCGTTTTATTATTTTTTTTTCTTCTTTACCTCAAAATTTTTTACTCTATTACTATTACCAGTAATAATACATAAATAATAGTATGTACAGTATAATACGCAGGTAAATAACCAAAAGATTATTTATATTTATTATTATTAGTATCATACTAATTAATCCATCTGTTGTAATTATTTATCGGGATTTTTTTTCTAAACCCCTAATATTAAATATTTAATTTTTTCTCTTTCAAACTGGCCCGGTTTAATTTTTTTTCATTATTCTCAGTACTCACAGTCCAAGACTCACAGCACGCGTTTATTATTTTTCTATAGCATACTCATTATCTTACATACATCTAACTTTAATCCATCAATTTAATTAATTGAAAAAAATTTTTTTTTCCATACCCGATGTTAGCAATGCTGATTATCTTTTTAAATGGTACTCTTGATTTTTGTTAATAATTAATAATTGAGTACCATTTAATTACTCTGGATCAATTAGATAAATTCATACGCTCAAACCGTTTTTAAAAAAAGAGAAAAAAATAAATAAATTACAATCATTCACACCTAATACTTGATAATTAATAAATAATTATCATAATTATCCAAATAAATTACACCTTATTATTTCGTCCTCAGTAATTGCTGTTGGACTTTTTTACTGGCTTGTGCTGTCCCTAAGGGCTTGCTTTTAGAATAAAGCAAGCCGACTTTCTGATTATTTTTTTTGCTGTTTTTTTTATTATTATTATTATTGTTGTTGTTATTAATAATAATATATCTTTTATTTTGCAACTGCTGATGAAGATGTACTGTGACCAATTGTGACGCTGTGAGAAGCGGATCAATATACCGACAATTACGCCCTAAGTTTAACAAGTTGTCACCCCAGTAGGCCTTTACCAAGTCGAACTGCCGGCGTAATTTACTCTCGGAGAAGGCCAACGAGATTAAATGTTGTTGATGGTGTTGGGACATAATATTGATGTTGTTGTTAATGTTTATACTGCTGATGCTGTTGTTATTGGTGTGCTGATGATTGTGATTTAAACTTTGATGCTGATACTGACGGTGACCCGGGTCCTACGCCGTCTTGCTCTTGTTGGTCTTGAAACTTACTTGGAGCACGCGGGTGCCCAGGTTATAGCCGTTCAGGCTTTGGATTGCGACTACTGCTTCCTCGTAGTTCGTCATGGTGACGAACCCGAAGCCCTTGCACTTGTTGGTTTGAAGGTCGCGGATCACTTTCACGGACTGTACGGCGCCGAACGGCCCGAATAATTGCCAGAGCACGTTTTCCTCGGTTTCTGGAGCTAGGTTGTACACGAAGATGCACCATCCGCTACCGTTTATTGGGTTCCCTGGTAGCATCGAGTTTGTCAAAAGGTCTCCTGCCAAGGGACTGTACCTGAAACATTTGGGGTTTTTGGTTAAAGTTTTTTTTTTAATATTAAAAATTTATTCATATTTTTTATTATTAGCAAATTTGCAGTCACTACGTGACTGCCGTGACTAGTCAACTATAAATAAATGAAATTTTTATCTATTAAATAATGACTTTTGGTAAATTGCACTGTACTTTCTTAACTATTGACGTTTTTAAAGATATAAGCTCATCCTGATGTTACTCTCATCAAGACCTTTCATTTGAGTACCCACATGCATTTTTATATATTTTTCATATATGCATATATATAATATATATAAATATATGAAAAATTGATGTGAGTACTCAAATGAAAGGTCTTAATGAGTATAATATATAAGAATGGACTTATATTTGCGAGAATGGTAATAATTAAGAAATGACTATTGTATTTTGTTAACTAATGATATTTTTAGTGATATAAGCTCATCCCGATGTTATACTCATCAAGAGCTTTCATTTGAGTACCCACATGTATTTTTGATATATATTTCATATATACATATATATAATATATACAAATATATGAAAAATTGATGTGGGTACTTAAATGAAAGGTCTTGATGAATGTAACATCGGAATGAGCTTATATCTCTAAAAATGTCAATATTTCACAAGATACAAGGTCATTTCTCAATTATGTATCTAGAGATAAAGCATTTTTGAATACAGTCTAAATATTTATCATAATAAATTAACTATCGATGAGAATGATATGAAAACTTGAAAAGGGACAAATTCAAGTTAAGACCTTTGCAATGAAACCAAATTTCATTTTAAAAAAAACCGATTTAATCATATGACTATTCTGGAGACAACATTTTTCTTATTCTCATAATAATATAGATTATTATTATTATTATTATAGTTGATTTTTTTTACTTTTAAGTATCTAATAAAATTTTTCTTTTAAATTAAGTGAAATAATGTGACTTAAAAAAGATCATTAGCATTAATTCAATTAATTAAAATTTTTAGTCACCAACTAAATAATTAAAAAAAAATAAATTTTATTTTTATAAGAAAATTTCTTTATTAAAAAATAACAATAACTGGAATTTTTTAAAAATAAATCTGAATAAATAAGTAAAAAAAAAAGTTTGTTGATCTAAAGATAAACTCCAAGATTTAATGTTCATATTTTGTGAGTAATAGATGTAATAAATGTAAACGTTACTTGAGTAAAAGTAACCACCAGTTTAAATCGTTAATAAAATGAGTACAATTGTAATAATTTGCTCAAGTGTCCAGAGTATATTTATATAATTATTTTATAAATAAGTTGGCGAAAGCTATCTTATCTCTCTGTTCTAAATTAATATAACAATACATGAATTATCAAACTAAACTCCATTTTATTTTTTTTTAATCGTCAACTAATATATTTTTCACTTTCTCGTAAATGACTAATAAAAGGATTAAATTTAATTTTCTAAATATTAATAAATCCGTAAAGTGAACACCAGATGTTAAATAATGTAAAAGCGAAAGAATCCGGAAACGTGTTAGTCTAAAGTTTGAGCGAACTTGAGCAGAATGACGATTGAAATTAAACTGAGTGTCTACTCCTGTCTTTCTCACTATTTAATTATTTTTAGCAAGTACAACGTTGTTGAATACCTACTACTCTGACATTTATTAAAGCTACTTTTCAAATTCAGTGCCAAGATATTAATTCATAACGCATCATTATTTATCATTTTTTATTTTATAATTCTTCCGCTTTTAAAGTTTTATCCACAAAAATAGTCTTATAATTTTTAATACCAATTTTTACAGTAAAAATTTTTTATTTGCAATTTTTAAAATTATTTCATCAATATTTTTCTTCAATTATTTAAATTTTAAGTATTTTTCAAAATATTCAATTTAATTAAATACTAGCAACCTTGCAGGCACTTGTGAACTATAAATAAATAAAATTTTGCTAGATTAAATAATGACTCTTGTTAAATTGCACTGTACTTTCTAAAATATTGACTTTTTTAAAGATATAAGCTCATTCCGATGTTAGACTCATCAAGAGCTTTCATTAGAGTACCCACATGCATTTTCATGTATTTTTCATATATACATATATATAATATATATAAATATATGAAAAATTGATGTGGGTACTCAAATGAAAGGTCTCGATGAGTGTAACATCAGGATGAGCTTATATCTTTAAAAATATCAATAGTTCTCAAGATACAAGGTCATTTCCTAATTATGTATCTAGAGATACAGCATTTTAGAATGCAGCCGAAAAATTTTTTGTATTCTTTTAATAATATAGATTACATATTTAATGCAAGGATCAATAATCCAGCAAATGCAACGACATGCAAATTTTTAAATAATTTTTTACCATAAAAAAAATTTTTTTAAACAAAAAAATGAAATCGACATAAACTAAATTTAATGGTAAAATAAAAATAATTATTAATGTACATACCTACTTGACATCACAAGCCGCGTAAAAATAAGGCATAATTCGGTGAATTATCAGTTATATTACAACAATAATTATTAATATTAGTGGATATAAATTTTATGAAAGTAATAGGAGTTTACTTTACTTATATTATCTCTAGTTACTCTATACTGTGTTTATCGATTTTATTAATTGAAGAAAAAAAAATATAATAGTAGAAAAAATAATATTATGCATTACCGAGAAGACTATTTGTTGTGTTGTGTATAAAAACAAAATAATAAAGCTCGAAAAAATAATAACTAATTAAATAAATAATTATAATTAAATAAAAAAATAATGAAATAAAGTGCGCATTATTGGGGACGGGATAAACTATAGAGCAAACTACTGATACAATTCAGAGGTTTCCAAAGTGAGGAAGCAGAGAAGCCACACAAATTATTAGAGTAGGGTATACTGTTTAGAAAAAAATTCATATATAATAATAATAATAATAATAATAATAATAATAATAATAATAATAATAATAATAATAATAATAATAATAATAATAATAATAATAATAGTAATAGTAATAATAATAAAATAATAAAAATAATGATAAAAAAAAAAGTAAAATAAATATATAAAGTGTGACGAGGTAAAGAAGCCAATGAAAGTATGAAAATATTAACAAAAAAAAAATACTGACCTCTGTAAGCCTTTGTTAATGGCAAGCATGGCCTTGCCAGTGCTAAAACAAAAAACACAAGAGGACAACATAAGAGAAAATTATATTTTCGAAAGCCGGGCCGAAAAAGGATAAATTATATTTTTAAAAGCATTCTTTTTTCGACTACGGTGTTTTCATTTTTATCAGAAAACAAAAACAATAATTTTTGAACTTTAGTATTAATTTTAATATTTATGCCAACAGCTGGATATTATATAAGCGGATTTTTGGTGTGAGAGGAAGGACAAGGATTTAAAAAAAAAAATTCGCGCTGTAGTAAATAATAATTTAAATGAAATAATAATAAATATTTAAGTAAATAAAATGTAATTTAAGTTTTTAATGTATTTAAATAAAAAAAATGTGTGTGCTGTGTTTAACTAAAAATAATATTAAATAAATATTTTTTTAATAACTTTTGCGTTGTGTTAGGAGTCGCTCGTACACAATAATGTCCTGGTAACTCAGGCTGCCTGGATAGAGACGTGGGTTATAGTGAAGAAAAGAAAGAAAGTTTTTTTTTTAAGAAATTGTTAAGAATATTTTTTCTTTATTTTAAGATGTTAGAATTTTAAATTTCAATATTTTTTTTTTAATAAGTTAATAAAAATTTTTAATTTTTTTTGAATAATTTTTATTACATTTTTATACATGTTAAAAAAATCGGTAAATATTTACAAGTAGGGTAAATTTAAATTTTCATTTTTTTGAACGAAATTTCTATTTGATTTTATTGATATATTTGTTTTAAATACATATAAAAAAATGAACAAGTAAAAAAAAATTGATTATCAGAATTTTAGTAAATTTTACAAATTTTCAAAAATATTTATAAATTTTTTAGAAAATTGTAATATTCAATTTTTTTGTAAATTGTTCTTTTCTTATGTACTTTTCAAAAAAAAAAATATATCAAAAACATCAAAAAAAGATGAAATAGGAATTTTATCCAAAAATATGAGAGCAAAAATTTTTTTCAACTTTCAAAAATGATTTTTGAATTGAAATATTAATTTTTTAATATTTTTGATATCACCACCATAAATCTACCGTAAAAAAAAAAAAGTTAAAAAAAAACAATTATGATGATTAATTAATTCGTCTATTTTTTATGGCCAAAAATAGGTTTGACCCCACTTGTAAATAATTACCAAATTTCAAATTTATTATTAAATTTTTTAACTTGAATAATTTTTATTACATTTTTGAACATGTTAAAAAGTTAAAAGAATTGATAAAAAAAAATCAGTAATTATTAATTAATATTAAATTTTAGCTAAAAATGAAATAAACAAATTTTATTTTAATAAAATTTCAATGTAAAGAGCAATTTTTAACATCAGAGTTATTTTTTAAAATAATGAAGAATAGAAAGAAGAAAAGTAGAGTAAAATTGATAAAGTTTTAGCCGTGCAAAGAGGTCATAAAAATAGGTAATGAGTTGAAAAAAGAGAAAGAAAAAAGAATTTAAAGAAAGGGATGTTTTGTCTCTAAATAGGCAGCTGAGTTGGATCGTTGATATATATTTGACAAATATATATCAACATATGATCCGGACATGTAAAATGAAAAATTTGAAACTAGAACTTGAGTGACTAAATTTTTCTAAAAAAATCTCAAGTTCGGAAAATTTAAACTTGTTAATTAATGAACTGTTAATAAATCAGTATTCTTTAGAATAGAATAACTGTTTTTTCTTGGGCAGAGCGAGTAGAGGCGAGTAGGTACCTGGATAGTGGCGACAGTGGAATGTACCTGAAGCGGCCGGTCGGATGGTGGATAGGGCCGCCGAAACGGCGACTCGCTTGTGGCGCCAGGTAGGCTGCGATCGGTGGAATGGCCTTGTTGTTGTTGCTCGGGTTGTTGGCGAACTTGACAGTGATCGGCTCGGTTGACCCCTTGGGGATGGTCCCGTTGAGCTCCTGGATCGCGCGCTCAGCCTCCACACGTTGGTCGAATCTTATGAAGCCGACACCTTTCGAAAGGCCTGCCAATTTCATCCCGTGCCAAACCAATATGGATTTTTTTTTCATTAAGATTAAGGCGTTAAGCGAGGGTATTTCTACTTTGGTCACTGGGGAAGGATGCCACATGATTCATGGATAAAACTGCTGCCCTTATTTTACTCCACATCTTCTTATTTTTTTTTTTTTTTTTTCAAGAAAATTTGTAATTTAAAAACTTTATTACAAAAAAACTAAGAGAAGGAATTTGTTAACTAATTTTTTTAATTCTAGCATTTATTAAAAAAAAGTAATTTTAAAAAAAAGTTAACGAGCTCTAATTTCTCTCTTCTGAAGCAAATTAAATTTTTTAGACATTTTAATGAACTCCTTCCTTACTCAAGGGCGATTTTAATAATTCATCAAAGCGCAAACATTATTATGTGTGCTCAGCGCCAACAGTTTTTATCCTTCAATGGCTATTGTCCCTCCGAGGGATTAAATAGTACCAAAAAGTCAACAAACTTTATAATCATGATAAAAAAAATTTATTCTTGTATTTTTTTTTAAATAATTGAAAATTTACTACGGACTTAAAAAAATTTGGTAATTATTTACAAGTGGGATCAACTCATGCTAGTCCATATTAAATTTTTTTTTTTTTTTTGATTAAATTGATCAATTTTTTTTATATACTTTTCAAAAAAAAAAATTTATTAGTTTTTAATATTTATTATAAATTTTTTTTTGTATACTTTTGCCATTTGGCTATACTGCCTTGGCATTGAAATTAAATAATAAATAAATAAATAAAATAAATATTTTATCCAAAAATATGAAGGCTAAAATTTTTTCCAATTTTTAAAGGCAAAAATAGCTATTAAAATTTTTATTTTTTCCTTTTACAACATTTTTTATTATAAATATGCCGTAAAAACAAGTAGAATAAAAAAAATTAAAAAATGTTAATTTTTCACCTAGTTATGGTTAAAAATAGGGACCCTACTTGTAAATTATTACCAAAAATTTTTTTAATGTTATTTCAATGGATCTATCAGTTACTAGTCAAGTAAAATTTAATTATTTTATCAAACTTTTGAGTTCAGCTTTTTAATTTTTAATTTTTTTATAATTAAAAGTTTTATAATTGAAACTTTCATTTTTTATAATTATTGTAAAAATAATTTACAAATTGTACAAAAAATTATTTCTCAAGTAAAGAATGAAATTTTGACTCAATTCTTTATTAATTTTTTGATTCAAGTAAATTTTTTTTGTATAGATAACTTACCGCTCAATGAACTTACATCATTGCACTGAAAAAAAAATTAACTTAATTCAAGAGAAAAATTATTAAACCAAGAAAAATTTTGTAGTTCATGAATTTTTCTTGACCTAAAAAAATTAAATTATTTTTCTCTTAAATCAAATTTTTTTTTTTCCAGTGTATAAAATTAAAAATGTCAAAATCTATAAAATTCTATGAAAAATAAATAAGCCTTACTCATTTTGATAAAACAATCTATTACCTGATCTAAAACTTAATCATTTATCACTCACCGGCAATAAAATTAGGCAGCAGTTTTAATATATGATAAGGATAATGCATGGTGAGACCCGATGTGATTGATAATGATCATTGTATTCATATAAATATATATTGATTTATATTTATAAATTTGACACATATAATATTGATTTCGATGATATCGATGATTAATAATAATGACTGTGATGATGATACACGAATTTTAAAGGGTGTCCGAGCGAGTGGCTCGGTGCGCAACTCATTCGTTCTCAAACGAGATTACGAATAATTTTGGGCTTAATTTTATATTTAACATTTTTTATACATTTAATTTATCAAAAAAAAAAAAAAAAAAACAAAAAAAAACGATAAATATTTAACAAAAATTTTAAAAAATTCGCGAAATTTCAAAAATATATATATCAGATAATTAAATTCAAAAGAAAGTTTAAATGAAATCAATTAATTAATTAATGAATTATAATGATAAAATTGATAATTATAAATTGAAAATGATAATTTAAAAATAAGAACAATAAAAATGATTATTCAATATAACAAATAATGATAACGTTTATGATAATGATGATAACAATGAATTTGTGGATGGAAAGGATATGATATGTGTGATGTGGATGTCAATTGTATGTATGGTATGCGTGTGCGTTATTCTTTCAACGCGCAGAACGCGAGTTATAATTTATATAAATATAAATAATTGTAATAATAATTTTTTTTTACCCCATTAACAAAAAATCCTTAATCTTTTTGAATTTTCAAAATCTTACTTTTTATCTTTATGCTCAACTAAGTGTGCATCAAGAATGAAATTATAAATGATATTTACGTACCGGGTAAATTGTCTCCACCGCCAGTCACAAACTGTCGTACTAAACAGAAACGAAAAAAATCATATTCTCGTTAAAAAATTATATCAAATAATAGCCAGAATAGCCTCTCATTCGCAGCTTTTTTTTTTTTAATTTTGATTCTAGTAATTAATAATAAAATAATAAAGGTAAATTATAATTATAATGATAATAAATCAGCCGCGAATCAGAGGCAACTAAAAATTTTGTAAAAATAAATTATAATATAATTTTAAAAATATCGATGCGTCTGCGTATAATTTTATAGATGTACTGGTAGTTTAGGATATTTTTAGTGCTATTTTTGGTTTTAGTTATTTTAAAGCTTTTAAGTTACTTGTCAGGAGTAGGAGATAAATAATAACAATAAAAATTATAATTATTATTATAATAACTATTTTTTTTAAATAAAAAATTAGTAAGTCATTTATAGAACTTCAAGAGGTTGCAATTTTTTTTTTCTAATAATTAAAATAAAAAAAATCATTTAAATACTTTTAAGTGTTTTTAAAAAATTATTCCTAATAATTTGCGAGATATTAAGGGGGAACACCAGCGTGGCGGTCGAAAAAAAAAGAGGTGATTTTCGGGAATTTTTATCAAGTGTTTTTTATCAATTGTATCAAGTATTTATGATAATTTAAATTAACAAAAAATTATTTCCACCAAGAATAGAATTTCAATAAAAATTTGTACTTCAGGCACCCGAAAATTTTCTTGAGCCAAGAATTTTGTTCTTCAGTCAAGAAATTTTTCTTTCTGTGTGAAGGAAGAAATTTTTTCTAGCGCTCTACGAGATTGTTAATAACTTTGTAATAATTAAATATTATTTAATAAAAATTTAGGATAATAATCTTTAATGTACCCTTAATAAAATAAAAAAAAAACCGATCTCCAAATTCCTTTATTTTCCCTGTCAAAAAAATTCCCAAAAATCACCTTTTTTTTTCGACCAACACAGTGATGTTCGCCTTAAATTTATAAAAAATTTTACAACCCCTTATGCAATATTTAATAAAAAAATGAAACCAAAAACACAAAGCATAATAATATTTTAAATAAAATTCGTCGACAATCCTAATTTGTTGGCCATATATTAAGCGGTAAATTTCGAAAAAGGCGCACCGATCCACCCTGCCTTGATTGCAATTCTTGTTATGAAAATTAAAACCTTTTTATTTGTAAATTACCAAAAAAAAAAATATTTATTTACATTTAATATTTAATTATCCTTGTTGTGAACAAAACAAATTACGTGGCCCAAAAGATTGTCCAATAAAAGCTATTTGTGAAAATAGTTTTATCACATCAATCTCAAAGGAACCAAACCTAATTAATAAAATACAGTACAACAGCTGGGAAGTCCTGAAAAGTGAAATTGGTTTTTCCGAATCGAGTCTCGGGGATTATCGTGATCGGAACCAGGGTAAAGGACTTGTCTCAGACAGCGGAAATTGTGTACTATGTGTCTGAGAGCTTATTGATGAGGTAACACATGCAAAGGGCTCGGTTAATCGGTTATCGGTTTAATCGTTTATCAGAGAGAATACTCAACGCCATCTTGATGATTTTTTATAGTTAAATCTTTTAATTAAATTATTACTTGTTTTTTATTTAAAACTTTTTTTTTTTCGTTTGGTCTCTTTGAGAAAAACTTACCAGTGATGTTATCGCAAAGGATTCGCGACGTTATTATTCTTCCGTAAGGACTGAACAAGTTTTCGAGGTCCTGCTGCGCCATATTTTTTGGTAAACCGCTCACGTACAAATTAGCACCCTTAATTGCTTCGCTACTCGGCCTTGCGTACGACACCTGTGATTAATTATGTCAGCATGTGATTAAAAATTATTTCTGTGTAAATTGATTAATTTTTCCATCAAAACTCATTAATTAATTAATTGATAATTAATCATTAATTACCTTGATTGTTTTATTTTGTAGTCGAAGACCATTTAGAGTGTTGATCGCTTTCTCAGCATCCTCCGGCCGATGGTAATTAACAAATCCATACCCCAAACTTTGTCCTAAAATCATATTTAATTACCAGTAAATATTTAGAGCTTTTATTTTTTTTTTCTTTCTAAAACTGGATTTATATTTATTTTTTATCAATTATTTATTAATATTAATATTATAATTATAATTTAATATTTTAACAGTATGAGTGAGGTGGAAGTGAGGATAGTTATGTATTTATAATTTTAATGCTCTGATATTTTATTTTTAAATTAAATGTTGTATTATGATTCATTTTATATCTAGTTTTTTTATGGAGTATTTAGATTACAATTTGGAAATTTTTTTATACAGATTGTAAGGTTTACTTTTTATGAGTAAGAAGTTTCCGTGGAATGAAGAAAGTTAAGAGTTTGCTCGACAGTTTTGATGTAAAATGAATTTATAAAGTAAATATTAAGTTTTGTACTGCAATTTAAATTTAAGTTGAAATTTTTATGAGAGAAAAATACTCGGGGATAACTTTTATGATGGAAATAATTTTAATTAGATTTTTTGTGATTTAAATTAAGTATGTTTTTTTTTTAATAAATTTAAGATTATGATCATTTTTAATGGGATTTTAAGAACTGTTTTAATTATCAATTTAAAGATTTTTTTTTTAATTATTAAAAAAAATTAATTTTTTTTAATATTTTTTAAGCAATAATAATTTTTAAAAAACTAAAAAAGATTGAAATTTTTTATTGAAATTTTAAATAAATGTTCTAATTATCAATTTAAAAAAATTTTTTTTAATTATTTAAAAAAATTTAGTTTTTATAAAAAATTTTTAAAGATAATTTTTTAAGTTTTTTTAGGCAATAATTTTTAAAAAACTAACAGAGATTGAAATTTTTAATGAGATTTTAAATAACTATTGTAATTATCAAATTAAAAAAAAATTAATTTAAAAAAAAAATTTTTAAAAATAATTTGTTAAGTTTTTTAGGCAATAATTTTTAAAAAGATTGAAATTTTTTAATGGGATTTTAAACAACTGTTTTAATTATCAATTTAATAATTTTCTTAAAATTATTTTATAAAATTTAATTTTTATAAAAAATTTTTAAAGGTATTTTCTTAAGTTTTTTAGGCAATAAGTTTTAAGACAAAACTAAGATAGATAAAAATTTTTTAAAAATCATAAAATACCAGATCATTAAAATATAAAAAAACATCCTTATATCTTAAAAATTTAATATTATAAAACTAATAATCATTATCAACCTTGATGATTAAAAGTTAAATTATATTTAATAAAATAGATGAACTTGACGGATTGACGTGCTGACAATCTCACTTGGCAAACTATCTTAGCGTTTGTTCGCGCTTTTGTTCGCCAATCACGAACACAATCAAGAGCAAACTTTAGTTTTCTACACTATATAACATTACAGATATAAAATCCTACCTTGACAGTATCAATCATTTAAATATCAAATCATTAAAACTTGAACTCCTAAAAATGAATTTTTTTAAAAATTAACAATAATCATAATCAATACAAACATTTTAAACAACAAGCTGGTTATCCTGTAAAATACATGCATATATTCGCCTCAATTAAACTTTTATTTGGCAACATAACTATTACAAAAGACCGATGTGTGTAATATTAAATATTAAATATAAAATATTAAGCAAGGAAGCTTTAATCCAAGCAACGCCCCCCGCTTATTCTAGACAAAAATAGACCCACCACTTTTACAAGTTAAATTTTGTATGCATGTAAATATATAATATTTTTTTTTTTATGTAATATATATAAATATATACGCTCACGCTAACTTAAGCCACTTATTTTACCCTTTCTCTCATTCTTCTCTTGTTAAATATATTCATGAGTATATTTGTAAATGTATCCAAACATTTAATATACACATAAATATTTTCCAAGTGAAAATCCGTCAGAAGATGTAGATTGTACTGACAATTTATACAATAGCGCACTTACGTATATTATTTTGCAAAAGCTGGAAATTTTAAAATATATTTTGTAAATTTAACATTTACCTCAAAATTTATTTTATTTTTTTTATCTTATATTTATTAATTAAAATAATATGTACATGAAGTTATCACGAACGAACTACGATTGAAAGTAGAGATGAGTGAAAAAAAAAATTAATAAAATACAGAAATAAAAAAATTTTTTGACAAATAATAATAAAATAATAAAATAATAAATTTTTAACAAACTAATTTAATAATGGAGGAATTAAAATATATAAGATTGGATCTGATCAATGTTGTCTATATATTTTTTTATTTGAGTTAAATTTTACTAATTTTTTTTTTTGTGTAATAATTAGAGAAAAAAAAAATTTTGATTTTTCCCATGATAAAAAATGTTTATCCTTACCAAAAGAAAATTGTCCCGGGGATAACATATCTCCGGCAAGCGATAAAGCCGCAGTGGAGTCTATAATGTATGAGAAAAAAAGAAAACAGAGACATAAAAATTTAACAATTCATAAAAGCTTTTATATAAAAACGCTATAGAATTTTTAGATAAGAAAATATTATAGAGATTATTTTAAATTATAATTATTATAATAATGATGATAGAGTAAAAGCAATGAAAGCGCGGTTATTTTTTTTTTTTATAAAATATATTATTTTATTTTTATTCTGCCGATTTTTGGTTCCTCGATTTTGGTTAAATTATATAATGGCTATACTTTAGCAACAGTATGATGGCTTTATTCGGGTGAATTTTCTACCAGCCATACTTTTATGAGATATATATTTATAAGGTCTCATTGTATTTATAAATCGACGATCGATCACAATGTAGCGTGTTCAAAAGGTGAAGGTCTTTATTTAACTAAAAATATCTGACATTAAAAAAATATTCATTTGCAAAATAATTAATACAAACTTACTAAAAATAATTGTCTCAATTAATCTAATGGGTAAGCTAAAGATCGAGGCAATAATTGTTTATTAAAGTGGCACAAAAAAATTGTTTTTTTTTTGTTTTTCATATTTTGAAAATTGTCAAAAATTTCTAAGTTAATTATTAAAGATAATTTACAATTTATTCTCTTATTTTTTACTTTTTTAATTTAAAATTAATAAATTTTATCTTTTGAATTTTTATTTAATTTTTTAATAATATTTCAGATTAAAAAAATTAAATTATTAATTTAGAAACTCCAAAATTTTATTGAAAATTTACTTTCATAATTTTTTATATTGACAATTTTTAATTTTTATTTTATTTTTAATATTTATATTAATAATTTTAGCATCATAAAAATATTCAATTTTTTATTTTTGAATTTTAGAAAAAACCTTTATAATTTTTTGACAAATTTTTTAAAAAATATTCTTAAAAGATTCTTAGAAAAATTTATAAAAAAATTTTTTTTTGAGCCACTCAAATAAAAATAATTAAAAAAAAAAAAAATAAGAAAAATTGATAAAAAAGAATACAATAAAAAAAAAAATAAAAACACCATCGATGAAAAATTCCAGTTTGCCGGAAAATGACGGCACGTCAAGCCTCTGGGTAAATATTTACAAAAATATATATAAATATATGAGTTTATATATATTTAAGTGAGAGATTTGTCTCGCTCTTTTTGCTTACAAGAATCCAAAATAAACTAAATCAATGTAATAAGAAAATAAAATAAATGTGTCAACAAGTGAAAACAAAAAAACGATGAATGGATTATATTTAAAGTGAATAAACAGGTGAGGATGTGAAGGAGTTTGTTTGAAAAATAAATAAATAAATATATAACATTTAACACTTAAATAAATAAATGTGCTCACCAGTGACTTTGTCGCGGATGAGCTTGCAACTCTCGACCTCTCCAATGCTGGAGAACAGAGAGCGAATTTCCTCCTGTGTCATCGTCTGTGGGAGGTAGTTGACGATAAGATTCGTCTTGGACTCCTCTTGGGAGGACTGACCGAGGTTCGAGCCTCCATTCTGTTGCACAACAGTGTCCATTCCGTTTGCCATCATTGCACTCGTTTTAATACACGCCGTCTATAACTACGTACGAAATCTGCAATCAAACAAGTTGAAATTTACTATTAAACATATTTTTATTTAAATTCAGTTGAAAAAAAATTTTTTACATCAATTAAAAATTTTTCCATGAGTTAACATTAATCAATTGATGACAAGAATCAAAAAAAATTCTTAGTACTTTCAATAGTTACTAGCAACCTTGCAGTCACTATGTGACTGCCGTGACTTGTGAACCATAAATAAATAAAATTTTGATTTATTAAATAATGACTTTTGTTAAATTGTATTATACTTTCTTAACAATTGATATTTTTAATGATATAAGCTCATCCCGATGTTACACTCATCAAGAGCTTTCATTTGAGTACCCACATGCATTTTTGATATATTTTTCATATATACATATATATATAATATATCTAAATATATGAAAAAATTGATGTGGGTACTCAAATGAAAGGTCTCGATGAGTGTAATGTCGAGGTGAGCTTAAATCTTTAAAAATGTCAATAGTTCACAACATATTTATTAAATTTCACTGTACTTTCTTAAGTATTGAAATTTTTAAAGATATAAGCTCATCCTGATGTTACACTCATCAAGAGCTTTCATTTGAGTACCCACATGCATTTTTTATATATTTTTCATATATACATATATATAATATATATAAATATATGAAAAAATTGATGTGAGTACTCAAATGAAAGGTTTTGATAAGTGTAATGTCGGAGTGAGCTTATATCTTGAAAAATGTCAATAGTTCACAAGATACAAGATCATTTCTTAAGTATTGATATTTTTAAAGATGTAAGCTCATATGTCAGAGAAATATTTCTGAATGATTGAATTCATAGTGTATTCAATTTTTTTTATTTATTTAACAAGAAAATTTTCTTGTCATAAATAATTTATTGATTTTTGACTGAAACGACAATAAGCTTCCATTTATCTATATTATTAAGAGAAGAAGAAAAATTTCGTGTCATATGACAAAATCGGTTTTTTTTAAATAAAATTTAGTGTCATTGCAAAGTTCTTTTAATAATGATGTCAAATTATGATTGATTATGAAGTATGTCAATTTATGAAGATCTCTAGATACATAATTAAGAAATGACCTTGTATCTCGTGAAGTATTGAAATTTTTAAAGATATAAGCTCATCCTGATGTTACACTCATCAAGAGCTTTCATTTGAGTACCCACATGCATTTTTTATATATTTTTTCATATATACATATATATAATATATATAAATATATGAAAAAATTGATGTGAGTACTCAAATGAAAGGTTTTGATAAGTGTAATGTCGGAGTGAGCTTATATCTTTAAAAATGTCATTATTTAACAAAATAGCAATGTCAATTCTTAATTATTGACAATTTTAAAAATATAAGCTCATTCCGATGTTACATTAATCGAGACCTTTAATTTGAGTACCCACATGACATTTTTTATATATTATATATATATGGTATTTGTGAAATATATAAATATATAAAATATATGAAAAATTGATGTAGGTACTCAAATGAAAGGTCTCGATGGGTTTAATGTCGGGGTGAGCTTATATCTCTAAAAATGTCAATAGTTCTCAAGATACAAGGTAAAAATCCTGGACACAGAATTTTTTTTATTCTCTCAATAATATATAGCATAGATTTATAAGACGCAGAATTTATCTAAAAATAGCCATCTATCCTTTTATATAAATATTGAATCGAGTATAGACGTCTATAAGTGGTAAATAATATATTAATAAGTCTATAGAATGTAAATTGATTAAATATATTTCTGTAGATCAATGTGTCAAAAATAGCCACATTGATTGAATGTAATCTATTATTGTAAATAAATTTTTATAATATTTATTCTTGGTAGAGACTAAAGACTCGAGACTAGAGATTGATTAGGGAAAAGGACTTGATGGAATCATTAAATATTTACGAATGTGCTTGTCCATCCCCTTGTTATAGCCGAATATCTATAAGTACGTGTATATGTATATGAGCTTTATGTTAAACCAGAATGGACATACAAGCAATAATGGAACGTCATAAAGCCATAGCAAGAGATGAAAGAACCAATCGGATGATCACCCTACTCATTGTCGTCGGTACAAACATGTCTGGGTTATAAAATTGCATAAGCTACATGTATGTGTAAGTGTAATGTAGAATGTAGAGTGTATACTGTATTGGTAATACCGGCAGCCCTACAGTCTAGCGATCGAAATTACTGGGGATTGCGCTGCTGACGATACAACACCAACCACCCTTAACAATCCTACTCTCGACCCCCTTAACTCCCTTGTCTGACCGTCTGAAGGGTGGGTCAGTGACTGCCAACACCCGAATATTTTTTGCTGTTCAAAATTTTCGGGTTTTTTTTTAAAATTATGTTTAAAATTTTTAGTTATAGTTTTAAGGAGTAATTATTGTTATCTTAAATTGTTTAAATAATTTTTTAATAAAATTATTCAATTTTTTTAATTAGAAATTAATTAATAAACAATTATTAATTTTCAATGAAAAAGTATATGGACCATATTTAAAAAAAAAATTATTTTCAATAATAAAATTGTAAAAAAATTCATTTGAAAAAAAAATATTAATTTAATTTAATTTAATTCTAAGAAAATATTAATGTTTTTTTTTCTTTTTTTTCCTAAAATTAAAATTTACTTATTGTAAGCCTAATGTATAAAGCTGATTGGCTTTTAAATAAATAAATGAATAAATAAATAAAATTCAATACTAAAAATTTATAATTTCTCAATTTTTTTTAAATATTTTGAATTTTATTTTCATTAAGTTGAAATTATTTTTAGTAACTTTTCAATAATTTAAAAAATCAAAAATTTAAGTAATATTTTAGATAAATTTCTTATAAAATAAAAAACAAACTAAAAAATTTATTTTAAAAAGTTATATGTACCAAAAATAAAATTTCTAATTTTTTCTAAAAAAAATTAAGATTATTTTGAGTTATTTTTGAAAAAATCAAAAATTTAAATAAAATTTTAGATTTAAAAATTTATAATAAAATAAAAAAAATCCTGAAATTTATATTTTAAAAAATAAACTTCCTTTTTTTTTTTTTTTTCTAAAACTAAAATTATTTTTAATAAAAATAAAAATATTAGTTCCAAAAAAATATTATCTATAAATAATTTACCGTTCAAGATAAAATAATACAACTAAAAAATGAGAATCACTGAGGATATATGGTTAAATTTAAAAGGGCGAAGAACCCCTAGTCACTGGGCAAGCCAAGCCGTTTAAAAGGCTCCCATGGTAGCGAATTATAGAACCCCCGGTAACAGCGGAACTACCAAGAGCTGCATATGCATGCGATGCGTGCCGTAGGGACATATATATATTATAATGTATATATACATATAGATTTATCATAGTAGGAGTAGAGTTAGTGGAGTAACTTGTCGAAAGACAGACAGAAAAGGAAGAGAGAGATAACCGGGGCCGCGGGAAAAAATACAAGGGGGAACGTCTGGCTGGGGTGGTTCAATCGTGCCCGGTATACGATATACGGTATACGGTACACCATCTACTATACGAATAAGCTGTCCCTTTCAATACATATAATATATATACACATTCATACATCTGCTACATGCATTACAACATCCATCAGCCGGCACGAGACGGTTTTAATGCTCCCTTACGTAATTTTAAACTCAGCTTTTTTAAATATTGCTACCTTTACCTACGACCACTCGGCGAGCCAAACCTGAGGACACGTATCAGCTGTCGACCTACCGACACCTTGAGCACCCTCCAACCTCGTGCCCAAGATCCAACACTCTGATATTCATTCCGGCTTTTAAATTTTAAATTAATCGTCTTACGATCTATAGATCTTCGCTACAAATGTTTTCATCTATGGATCCACCTTTTCACGCTTTATTGATTATCCCTCACTGCTACACTGCCCTTATATTATCAAATACCTGGTTTAGTTTTTACCGTAAACTCAAGATATTATATACTAACTGTCGCGTGTCTCACCGGCGTTCTAAGCCTTGTACGACCTTACTTCTATTTTAAATAAATGGAGTTACTTTTAAATTTTTTCATATCGCGGTTTTATATCTTCACATTAAAGAATTGTTATTTTATTTTAAAGCAATTTACTTGAAAAAAATCTAATTAATTTTTATCTAAGAATAATTTTAAATTTTAACTAAAAATTTGAGTAATTTTTTATGGAAATATTTGAACTAGTATAGTTTAAAAAAAAAAAAAATTAATTGTTATGAATCGTGATAATTAAGTACTATCAACCTTGCAGTCACTTTGTGACTGCCGTGATTTGTGAACTATAAAAAATAAAAATGTTGCTTAGTTAAATAATGAATTTTGTTAAATTATACTTTCTTCACTATTGACGTTATTAAAAATATAAGCTCATCCCGATGACACACTCATCAAGAGCTTTCATTTGAGTACCCACATGCATTTTTATAGATTTTTCATATATTCATATATATATAATATATATAAATATATAAAAAATTGATGTGGGTACTCAAATGAAAGGTTTTGATGAGTGCAACGTCGAGATGAGCTTATATCTTTAAAAATGTCAATATTTTCCGAGACGCAAGGTAATTATTGATATTTTTAAAGATATAAGCTCATCCCGACGTTGCACTTACCAAGACCTTCCATTTGAGTACCCACATCAATTTTTCATATATTTATATATGTTATATATATTATATATAGGTATATATGAAAAATATATCAAAAATGCATGTGGGTACTCAAATGAAAGCTCTCAATCAGTATAACATAAGAATGGATTTATATTGACGAAAATGCTAATAATTAATGAATGACTATGTCATTTTGTTAACTAATAATATTTTTAACGATATAAGCTCATCCCGATGATACACTCATCAAGAGCTTTCATTTGAGTACCCACATGCATTGTATATTTTTCATATATACATATATATAAT